ATAACACAGTTGTAGATATGTTGTGTGGAAAAACATCTACACCAACACGTGTGAAAACATCTTACCTGAGTTAATAACACAGTTGTAGATATGTTGTGTGGAAAAACATCTACACCAACACGTGTGAAAACATCTTACCTGAGTTAATAACACAGTTGTAGATATGTTGTGTGGAAAAACATTTACACCAACACGTGTGAAAACTTCTTACCTGAGTTAATAACACAGTAGTAGATATGTTGTGTGGAAAACAAACATCTTTATCAACACGTGTTAAAACTTCTGACCTGAGTTAATAACACAGTAGTAGATATGTTGTGTGGAAAACAAACATTTACACCAACACGTGTGAAAACTGAGTTAATAACACAGTTGTAGATATGTTGTGTGGAAAAACATCTTTACCAACACGTGTGAAAACTTCTTACCTGAGTAAATAACACAGTAGTAGATATGTTGTGTGGAAAAACATCTACACCAACACGTGTGAAAACATCTTACCTGAGTTAATAACACAGTTGTAGATATGTTGTGTGGAAAACAAACATTTACACCAACATGTGTGAAAACATCTTACCTGAGTTAATATGTTGGATATGATGTGTACACAAAACATAACAAGTTACACAGCTGTTTAATCAATGGTGAAAACCTTCTGTGTCCCTCTACTCGACTAGTTTAACACTATATAGGAAAATAGTGGTTGTTGAAAGAGGTTAAAAGTAGTATCAAACACAGAAGACTGTCAATAGTGTTAAACTGACTGTGTAGAGGAACAAACACAGAAGACTGTCAACAGTGTTAAACTGACTGTATAAAGGAATAAACATAAGACTGTCAGTAGTGTTAAACTTACTGTGTAAAGGAATAAACAGAAGATTGTCAACAATATTAAACTAGCTGTGTAGAGGAAGAAACACAGAAGATTATCAATAGTGTTAAACTGAATGTGTAAAGGAATAAACAGACGATTGTTAACAATGTTAAACTAGCTGTGTAGTGGAAGAAACACAGAAGATTATCAATAGTGTTAAACTGACTGTGTAAAGGAATAAACAGAAGATTGTTAACAATGTTAAACTAGCTGTGCAGAGGAAGAAACACAGAAGATTATCAATAGTGTTAAACTAGCTGTGTAAAGGAAAAAACACGGAAGAATGTCAAGTGTTAAACTGACTGTGTAAAATAATAAACAGAAGACTGTCAATAGTGTTGAACTGACTGTGCAAAGGTATAAACAGAAGATTGTCAGTAGTGTTAAACTGACTGTGTAAAGGAACAAATACAGAAGACTGTCAATGGTGTTAAACTGACTGTGTAAAGGAACAAACATAGAAGACTGTCAATATGTTAAACTGACTGTGTAAAGGAACAAACACAGAAGACTGTCAATAGTGTTAAACTGACTGTGTAAAGGAACAAACACAGAAGACTGTAAATAGTGTTAAACTGACTGTATAAAGGAATAAACACAGAAGACTGTCAATAGTGTTAAACTGACTGTGTAAAGGAACAAACACAGAAGACTGTCAGTAGTGTTAAACTGACTGTATAAAGGAACAAACACAGGAGACTGTCAGTAGTGTTAAACTGACTGTGTAGAGGAAGAATGTTTTCGTTTATGGATTTACTGTTCAGCTTGTGGTACCTGAAGAAGTGCATGGCCCAAAACGTTGTATCCACAACAGTATATATATATATATATTGGTGGTTTGACCTAAAACCTTTTTATAAAATGTTTAAACTTTATAAATATTTGTATCTAATAATCTACCCTGTTCAATATAGCTTGTTGAAGATGGATTATGTTTATTCCGAAACGTTCATGAATTAAATGTTTTACTGAACATACACGTGTCAAGTGTTCGTTGTTGCTGCTGTCGTTTTATTGTTCAACATTATTATTGTCCCATTAATGTAATATCAACATTTCTTCAGCCACAACATGTGCAGAGGAGCAAACACAGAAAACTGTCAATAGTGTTAAACTGACTGTGTAGAAGAACAAACACAGAAGATTATCAATAGTGTTAAACTGACTGTGTAGAGGAACAAACACAGAAGACTGTCAATAGTGTTAAACTGGCTGTGTAAAGGAACAAACAGAATTACTCAGTAGTGTTAAACTGGCTGTGTAAAGGAACAAACAAATTACTCAGTAGTGTTAAACTTACTGTGTAAAGGAACAAACAAAAGACTCAGTAGTGTTAAACTTACTGTGTAAAGGAATAAACAGAAGATTGTCAAGAGTGTTAAACTTACTGTGTAGAGGAATAAACAGAAGATTGTCAAGAGTGTTAAACTACCTGTGTAGAGGAACAAACACAGAAGACTGTCAATAGTGTTAAACTGACTGTGTAAAGGAACAAACACAGAAGATTATCAATAGTGTTAAACTGACTGTGTAGAGGAACAAACACAGAAGACTGTCAGTAGTGTTAAACTGACTGTGTAGAGAAACAAACACAGAAGGTTATCAATAGTGTTAAACTGACTGTGTAGAGGAACAAACACAGAAGACTGTCAATAGTGTTAAACTGACTGTGTAGAGGAACAAACACAGAAGACTGTCAATAGTGTTAAACTGACTGTGTAGAGGAACAAACACAGAAGATTGTCAACAATGTTAAACTAGCTGTGTAGAGGAAGTAACACAGGAGATTATCAATAGTGTTAAACTGACTGTGTAAAGGAATAAACAGAAGATTGTTAACAATGTTAAACTAGTTGTGTAGAGGAAGAAACACAGAAGATTATCAATAGTCTTAAACTGACTGTGTAAAGGAAAAAACACAGAAGACTGTCAATGGTGTTAAACTGACTGTGTAAAGGAATAAACAGACGATTGTTAACAATGTTAAACTAGCTGTGTAGTGGAAGAAACACAGAAGATTATCAATAGTGTTAAACTGACTGTGTAAAGGAATAAACACAGAAGATTGTTAACAATGTTAAACTAGCTGTGTAGAGGAAGAAACACAGAAGATTATCAATAGTGTTAAACTGACTATGTAAAGGAAAAAACACGGAAGAATGTCAAGTGTTAAACTGACTGTGTAGAGAAACAAACATAGAAGATTATCAATAGTGTTAAACTGACTGTGTAGAGGAACAAACACAGAAGACTGTCAGTAGTGTTAAACTGACTGTGTAGAGAAACAAACACAGAAGGTTATCAATAGTGTTAAACTGACTGTGTAGAGGAACAAACACAGAAGACTGTCAATAGTGTTAAACTGACTGTGTAGAGGAACAAACACAGAAGACTGTCAATAGTGTTAAACTGACTGTGTAGAGAAACAAACATAGAAGATTATCAATAGTGTTAAACTGACTGTGTAAAGGAACAAACACAGAAGACTGTCAATAGTGTTAAACTGACTGTGTAAAGGAATAATTAAAATACACAATAAACGGATGAAATAAATTAAAAGACAACCAAATAAACAAAGAATAAGATAACGAAATAATATTGTATAAGTTACTTAGAACAGATTTAATTGTAGTGAAGTTGTGTTATTATTTAAAGTTGGGAGTTCCATTTATAATAGATAAACTTTATTTACATAATCGTTAACTTTATAAATATTCGTATCTAATAATCTACCCTCTTCAATATAGCTTGTTGAAGATGGATTGTTTCTTCCAAAACGTTCAAGAATTAAATGTTTGTTACTGAATATACACGTGTCGAATGTTCGTTTGTATGTAATTAAGCACAAAGCTACACAATGGGCTATCTGTGCTCTGCCCACCACGGGTATCGAAAACCGAATTCTAGCGTTGTAAGCTCGCAGACATATCGCTGTGCCACTGGGGCTCAAATGTTCTTTGTTTCTGCTGCCGTTTTATTGTGACCATATGTAATTGATGGCCAGGTGGTTAGGGAACTCGATTCGCAATCTGAGAGTCGCAGGTTCGAATCCCCGTTCCACCAAACATGCTCGCCCTATCAGCCGTGGGGGCGTTATAATGTGACGGTCAATCCCACTATTCGTTGATAAAAGAGTAGCCCAAGAGTTGGCGGTAGGTGGTGATGACTAGCTTCCTTCCCTTTAGTCTTACACTGCTAAATTAGGGACGGCTAGTGCAAATAGCTCTCGTGTAGCTTTGCGCGAAATTCAAAACAAACAAACAATTATCCTATGGAGTCAGTTGGGTTTACTTATTTAATATTTGTGAGTTATCAGTTACTTTCACTCAACTTATTCGTGAACGCCAAATAAAGTATTTAAAGTAATAGAACATAATTAGTTAGCATATAACTTACTTCTAATTTTCGTTTATTTGTCTTTAATCGCAAACAACTTATATTAATATATTTATACATGACAGACACCATATTCCTATAGCCATAAGGGTTTTAATTTACACAGAAAAACATTTTATATTTCAGTCACAAATATATTGGTAAATTAGAATCAAAATAGATGTTAAAAACGTGATTTTAATTTATTTGTTTATATATATTTATGTCATAAGGTCAAATATAGTATTATCAATATGCTCATATACGTACCTAAACGTTTTCCTACAAATAAAGTCTGAAGTTCTAAATACTGTTGCGTCAGCGAAGTCACGTGACTAGTATCACGCCACGTCCTTCTCTCGAACCTTCGTGAACTATCGGGAGACTACTAGATTGGGGGTAGTCTGGTATATAT